TAGGATAACAATCTTATTTTAATATATCACTTTCCTAAATTACCCCTATCTGTTATCCACAGTCGTAGGCAAAAAGCAAAAGGGTATAATCGAGAAACCAGCTTCTTGTCATTACCTTTGGCGTGGAAACTCAGCCTTTGTACGAAACCGGAGAACATGTCTCTTTCCTCCAAGAACAATCCTTTTCCTCTTCCCTTCTCCTCCTCTGTCTTTGCCTCTTGAAATTTTTCCAAATTCCCCACGAACAGATCTTCAATTTCCACCTTGAGGTCTCTCTGAGTGATTGACTTTAGGGTTTTCTAACAAAAATGTTGGTGCAGAGGAGAGTGATGAGCTGGAGGAGAGTTTGGAAGTCGTTTCAAGCTGTTTCTGCTCATGGTTTGCTCTTCACCTTCACGCTTCTTCTCGCTCTCAAGCTTGATCATGTCGTCTCTCATTCATGGTGGTTAGTTTCTTTTCTCCTTTTGACTTGTCTTAATTGTGAAAATTCTCTGAGTTTAGTTCATGGGTTTGGATGATTCTTTGTGTAATTGAGTTTGGAGTAAGTGTAGTTTGTGAAGAGGGTATAAAGTTTGGATCTTTGAGAAGTCTTTATCATACTTTGGCTCTGTTTTTTTTTTTTTTTTGTTGCAGGTTTATATTTACACCCTTGTGGCTGTTTCATGCTGTGATAGCTCGTGGGAGATTCTCTCTGCCTGCTCCATCTATGCCTCATGATCGGCATGTATGACATTCTTTTGTTTGTGGTTATGATATCACCTTATTGCTCTTTGTTAAAGTTTATGGTTTTTGTGGCAGTGGGCTCCTTTTCATTCTGTTATGGCAACGCCACTGCTTGTTGCTTTTGAGATCCTCCTATGTGTACATCTTGAAGATCAATATGGTATTATGCTCTTTAAATTTGTAGTTTCATTAGTCTTCTTATGGATTTATGATAGCTTTGGTTTTGTTCTATGTGCTGCAGTTGTTGATTTGAAGATTGTCTTCTTACCGTTGCTTGCATTTGAGGTGGCGATTTTGGTAGATAATGTCAGGTATTTCATCAACGTTTTAAGGTTTGGTTATGTTCACCCTTTCTCTAGAGTTGCCGCGTGATTATAAAACAAATCTTGCTTTCATATCTTGTTTACTTTTGTCTTTGGAGGTGAGTGACTAACTGACTACTGACATGCAAACTTGTTTCTGCAGAATGTGCAGGACACTCATGCCTGGAGATGAAGAAACTATGAGTGATGAAGCCATTTGGGAAACACTCCCTGTAAGATTCTTCTTCTCTATCTTTAATATGTTTCTGCAGGTTGGTTCTGACATTGTTTGTTTGTTTGGTAGCACTTCTGGGTTTCCATATCTATGGTGTTCTTCATTGCCGCCACAACCTTCACTCTTCTTAAATTATGTGGTATGTTGCACATTTACCTAACTATCTTTTTCTTAGTTACTGATATAACATTAGAGGTGTTATTGACGTTCCTGTTTTCATGTCCTTAAGTTCAACTAAAAGATACAAAAGCTTGTTAGTGTAGGATCAACTGCTTTCTCGTTGCTGCTGCTGCCATGTCTCAGTCTATTTCATTTGTTTCTAAAATCTTTTATCTCTGGAGCCTTGTGTAGGTGATGTAGCTGCGTTGGGATGGTGGGACTTATTTATAAACTTCGGGTAAAACTACTTTCTCTCTTGAAGTCCTTCTGAACTATAAAGACAATTCTCTTTTAGTAGTATGAACCATCTTCAATTCTTCACAATCTACAGAATAGCAGAGTGCTTTGCGTTTCTTGTATGCACAAAGTGGAGCAACCAGTCAATCCATAGGTACACGCATGTACCGGAACCAAGCTCATCTTCAATGGTAGTAAGATATCTTGACTGGAACAGAGGTTTAGTTGTGACCGCTGACGAAGAGAATCAGCACAGCAACAGAATATGCGGTCTCCAAGATATTGGTGGACATGTTATGAAGATCCCATTTGTTACCTTTCAGATTATCCTCTTCATGCGTTTAGAGGTACACTTACTTTAAAAATCCATAGCCTTTTAAGCATTCCTAATTCTCTATTTGAATCTAATCTCCAGGGGACGCCTCCTTCTGCCAAAAACATTCCTATTTTAGTTCTGTTCGTACCTCTTTTCTTGCTACAAGGAGCTGGGGTGCTGTTTGCTACATATAGGTTGGTGGAGAAATCTGTATTGTTGATAACTAGTGGTGGTGGTGGTTCTTTTGGAAGATACTTTACTGCAACATCATCAGCTCGTGAGTTTTTGGGATTCTTTCAACATGGTGCAAGGTATTTTGAGCAATGTTTGAATCTTCTGGTGACTGACTACAAGAAACGTCATAAACATTAATATACTTGACATATCTGTGAATAATAGATTACTTGGCTGGTGGTCTATCGATGAAGGAAGTCGAGAGGAACAAGCTAGACTCTACTCTGGAGAAGCTACCGGGTAAAGCTGCTCTCTCATCTTGTTGGTAACATACATAACAAACTCTTTTGACTTATACACTTATGTTTGGTTTTGATATGGTTTCAGATACAACACATTCTCACCAGAGGTTGTGAAGAAAATGCCAAAGTCTGATCTTGTTGAAGAGGTAAGAGAATTTTTGAAAGTTATTTCATTTTAAAACTTTTCTGAAACCTAGCAAAGATATGGAATCTCTCTTAAAACAGATATGGAGACTACAAGCTGCATTGAGTGAGCAAACAGATATCACCACTTTTAGCCAGCAAGAGTATGAGAAGCTTCAAAACGTAATACATCCTTTTTTTCTCAAGATTTGTGTGTTTAATAGCGCCACCATGGATGGTTATAACAATTTAAAACTTGGAATTATTCAGGAGAAGATTCTTTGCAGAGTTTGCTTTGAAGATCCCATCAACGTGGTTCTACTCCCTTGTAGACATCACGTCCTCTGCAGGTAAAACTAAAAACATTTTGTTTATATTATGATCTGCTAATTTTCATGTTTTACTTGTATTTTGAATTTTGAGACCATTTGTTTTCTGGTAAATACCATTTAGTAACTATTTGTTATGTCTTGTTATGTGGTTTTTTCAGCACGTGCTGCGAGAAATGCAAGAAGTGTCCGATATGTCGTGTCCTGATTGAGGAGCGCATGCCTGTATACGATGTGTAGATTTCAGAAGACGATCATTATGAAGAATATTAACATTCTTCTTCTCGTTCGTTTCGCTTGTTTGTTTTTTCTGTTTTTTTTAGTGATTAAGCAAGCATTTATTAAATAATATATATGTTACAACTTGAAATCCGATTGTTTTCCTCACTGGATGTAGATAAAAATATTGTAAAACCATCGTCGTATATGTTCATCATTCCTTTGTTTGTCTTTCTCTCTTCTTTTGTAAAACAAAACAAAATTACAAGGTCCTGTAATTCATTTCTGTTCATATCATCACTCTTTCTCTGTTCACAGTTTCTACAAAATAATTTGGCTGTCGAGAAATCAATAGTAAGAAGTACAAAATCTACGATTTGAAAATGGCATACATGTTTTTGTTTCGTGTGTGTATCTAATGGTTTTTGTTTCGTGTGTGTATCTAATGGTTTTTGTTTCGTGTGAGTATCTAATAGTTTTTGTTATTATTCTGTTTACTCACTGCTCCATGGCGTGCGATTATGAAAAACATATAGATGAGAGGACGTCTCTTCAATGTGGCCGACAACAATAGTGTTTTCATTTCACGAAATTGTTCACACCCCTTTTTATATATGCTCTGTGAATCTCTCTCTACCTTCTTATATAAATGTTTAATATCAAATCATATAATGTCATCTAATGACTATGTAATATATAATTCATAATTCAAAGTCACGATTTTATTCTATTTCATAACTGGTAGTTTTCTTTTTCTAACAGACATGAACAACAACAGACACCAGAATCTCTCTGACGTGGCTTCCTGTGCTATTTGACGAGAGAATAAAATCAGTGTGTTCCCTCTGTGTTTTTCGGTCTCAAAATTCTTTTCTGTATATTCAATCTTTCCCACTAGGTGTCGATCAATAATAATGTGCTTGACATATTACTATATTAGGGGGCAATAAGACTAAATACACTAAACGGCCCAACGGCCTTCAGAACTTAAAATACTACTAAACGGCCTTCACAACTTGCCTAATACTTTACTCGATTATACATTACTAAAATGGTTACAAATTATATTATAATTAAATCCACAATCTCCTAAATCTGTATGCCATATAATCAAAGTATTTTAGGTTTTATTAGACGATCCTAAACGATGATTGGTCAATTTATCGAGAAACTCTTTATCTTATTACCTTTTCTCCTGGAGTTTGAAGGTTGAAAATTAATGCAAGAATAGTTTGTCCAAAAAAAAATCTCCATCTATGATAAAAAATACTTTTGTCATTCTACTTTTACAATTTTGCTTCCCACTTTTAATTTTTTTGACGTTCATGACTTGCCATTGCACTGTTTTAACTTAACTTAAAGTTTAATTTGGGTTTCCGATTATGAAATATTTGAATAGATGCTATATACGTCTGTAAACACTTGAACCGCATAAAATATTCAACGTTATCTGAACCAGATTAAAAAGAATTAAAGGCTAAACCACAATCATTTCTCATGTACTGAAATTTATTTTTTTAGATCTGAGATCAGAACATAGACAGAACAAATATTTTTTTCTAAATAACGTTTGAGTCTCTAATTTTTTAGGTTTTATCTTTGCTATCAGTCAAACCAATAACATTTGATACATTACGTGCTAGTAGTTACTTTGCTCAGCTATAATTAAATGGTGAAGAAAATATGACGGATCATGCATCATGTTTCTTTCATTTCTTCTTAAGTACATGTTGTATATATAATAATCGGTTCACCTATAGTTGTATATATTTGGTAGTTTAACTGCAAATAATAACAAAATTCTTACCGTAGAAGTACAATTGTACCTTTATCATTTTTTAGTGTGACCTTAGGGTAGTTATGTAACAAATAGATCTCAGAAAATAAACTTAATCAACCAGAGAGAAGAAGAAAACAGCAACACATTAGCTACTAATTTACATCTGAAAAACCCTTCTTTGGGATGAAAAAACTACAAAAATACATGCATAGCTTCCTACAGAAAGCCAATACATATAAGCTTCTTCCCAAGGGTTATATAAGCAAGATCCGCAACAACAACAAAGAGCTAAATATTGGGTTAGTCTTCCTTAAGCCGATAATGATGGTAATGATGAAAATGATTTGATTTTTTGCTTCTTCATTTGTTAGTCATGCCAACAAAGAAGCATGACAACACACCTCCTTATGATGTAAAGTTTAGCCTTCTGCTCTCTAATGACTCCTCCCACTCCTCGGCTCCACATCTTCCTCTTAGTTCCTCCTACGTTCGAACCGGTCGTCTTCATTTTTTCTTGATCCTTTGGGAAGTGAAATGTGACAGAGAGAGAGAGAGTTAGAACAATTAGGGTGTCTTTGTGGATGATAATGAGGAAAATGATGACTGATGAATGAAAGAAGAGTATTGTGCTTAATATATACAAGTGGGGAAGAGGTGGCTGAGGACAGAAACCGAACCATAACAAACTAGACCGGTTCACGAAAGAGGCAACGAGTGGGTCCATAGGGGTTTGTGCACTGTTCCCTAACTCACCGGACAGTGTGTCCCTCCATACCCACGTGGACCCCCACCGTGAGGAATCTTTGCCCTAACTGTGATTATTTATTTATCTTATCACATGCTCCATCTCCATGAAAACATTACCCAAAAACCATACTGATGATCAAAGTGAGCCTACACTTTTCTTTATCCAATTTCGGTTTAAACTGACTAAAATCCTAAGTGCAATGTATCAGTTGGCTTTCAGAAAATGTTACCAACCAAAATTGTAGGGACTAACTAATAGTCTAATACTAGCCATCCAAAATCGACACCTACTTGGTCCCGGGACGTTACTAGTAATAGTCTAACACTAGTCTAATAATTGTGATAATGAAAACTAACATTAATTCGTTTGATTGGTACGTAGCTCACTCATCAATTTTGTGACCTGATGATATTTCAATATCGACAAATTCTAGTTAATCAGTAATACATTCCAAAATCTTGTAGGAACATGCATGGAGATATATTCAAAGCATCGAATTTATGTTTATCTTATATATATTTTTCGGCTTTGAGTCAGATTTAAATTATTGCTATACACAAAAAAAAAGACTACACAAAAATGCATTGCGCCGAAATTGGTGAGAGAAGTTATTAAATACCAAACTATAACTAAATGAGGAACAGTTAGGCGTTAATTAGGTGGCATAATCTTAAATTGCAGATTCTTCTTTATATAATTCAGATTCAATCAATCTCTTAAGCAAAAACCGACAACGGGTTGGTATGATTTCAATAAGTAATTAAACCCTATTTTTTAAGTTACATTAATCTTTAACTTAAAGGTTATTAACATTAGAAAACCACATCTTACAGCTATATCACAGTTAATTAGTAGTATATAGTACTCCTCCAAGTAATTAATATAATTAGCTACACAATTAACCAAGTAGAGTTTGGGGTGGTTTGATGTGGTTTATTGATTATAGTGAAGTCCTCCTCGAGGGAGGACTTCACTATAATCAATAAACCACATCAAACCACTCGTGACAAAAAAAAAAAAAAAAGTGAAGTCCTCCTCGAACTAGGAGTGGAACCGCACGTGAGGTTCTCGTGATTCACAAAATGCCTTTAGCTTTTGGTCGTCTAAAAGAACAAGTTCATAAAAATAAAAATTACATTCTTCTTGTAATCTATGGTTTATTATGTGAGTTAGTCTCTGTCATTCATCTTTCCTTTCAATTTTGTCGTCCTTTTATCAACCAACTTTTTCTTCACCCCTCGTGGTTGTAACTTGTAACCACTTTTACTCCCGTATACTTAGTTAATATAAAAGTAACGTACGTGTGCTTTATGTGCAATGGATAAACGTGGAAGAGATCATTCACACCTTTTAGATCCAGCAAAACAGCTACTTTTGTTTTCCTTTTAACCAAGAGGCTACCAAGAGCATGTGGCCTAGTAATTTGCTGGAGTTGATAGAGTAGATTCATCATGTGGGTCAAGACTCAGAAGCAGAAATTGAGTTTTTTTTTGTTGTAAAACATCAGAGATTGAGTTATTACCATCTGCGAGTGAAATAGTTGTGCTTCTCTCGTAATCTTAGCCACTCTAAATGTTATGAATTTTGTTTGTTAAATATTTTAGTAATGAATTTTTAACTCAAAATCAATTAGTAATGAATGATTTGACAATTATTGTTTATATTTTAATTTTTTAGTATCAATATAATTTTTCTGTCATTGTTCATGCATCAACTTTTGAAACATATACAATTGTAAAAACAATATCTAGGGTATCCAACATAAATGACTATGAATCTATGATGCATGTTAAGTTTATTTTTATCATAACTTCCAACTAATTAGTAATTCATATTTTAATCGTTCCATTTATATATTACGAGTAGTATTATTCTGCAATGACAAATGTGGAAATTCTTTCATTAACTTCCAAGATTAATAAGAATTTCTATCTCGTTATCTAAAAGGAAATAAAAAGGACACATATAATCTCTGTGAAAAGAGCTTGAGTAAGAGAAACGACTCCAGCTTCAATGGCGTACGGAATTATTTTCCTTTCACAATTTTAAAATAAAGAAGCACTTACTTCGATAGCCAGCAAGATAAATATCAGAGTGACTTCTCTGACTCTTCGTGCGGAGCTCATGGTTTCTCAGGTCCAAAGCCCGAAGGGGTAACGTGCTATTCAAGAAACTTTCCTTTTTTAATTGATTGTTTCACAAATTCCTATGATATCAACAAGTATTCAACAAGAATACTAAAACTTCAGAAACAGAGTCAGAGACTGTCATGTGTGTGGATTTAGGTACACAATGTTTTATTTACGGTTACTTGCTTTCCAAGTATTAGTAATTTACTAAGGCTAATAACATATACATTGAGATTTACACTATTGGGATGAAGATGAAACATTGATAGATGTAAGTACTCACTCCTCTCTGGGGATCCACCTGTTCCACCACACGGTCTTCCGGCCATCGGTAATCTCATCCATAGTCTCCGCAACTGTTTTCACAAGCTTCCTCTTAAGCCTAAGTGCTGACGCGAGAACGTTTCTCTGCGCACTCGCTTTCTTTCGTGGCTCTATCTCCTATAATAACACAAAGAATCAACATTAGGGTTTAACGCCATTTCACACATTAAACTCTGAGAGGTATTATTAGCCACAAACCTTGAGTTCCTGAAGCTGCGTTTCTGTGAATCCACCATCTTTCTCTGTCCCTGACCTTGCCATTAACTGAATCACCCAATTTGCAGCTTCACTATAGTCTTGTTGTGTAGCCCTGAAGTACTGCATCCTCAGGTTTTGCATGACGGACAACGCAAGTAACCCTTGTCTATCGAAATATGGGTGAGCAAGAGCTGCTTTTGCGCTGATTCTTTGTCTTGCTTTGAACCGGACCATTGATGTAAGAAGTTCCCATCCGATCCCACCGTCTAGATCTAATAGCTCAAACCCTTTACGGAGATCAGGGCTTGCTCGAGGCTCCACTAGTTTTCTCCACGAGGTTAAGTCGTAGTCGCATCTTTTTAGCTGGCGGTTGAATTGAATGAGGTTGCTGTCAGACCTTAAGGATGGGAATGCCTAAGGAAAAGGTAAAAGCATGGTGTGAACATTAACATAGCATGATTGATTCGTTTCCCAACACAAAACAAAACGAAAGAACAGTCCAAACAATAGAACCAAAAGCAATCCAGGTCAATGAATTCTAGAGCATCCATTACTTTCCAAAGGGCCAACCAACAACACACTAAACTTCCCTAAGAACTGAAGAACAGTATATCCTATTAACTGCAATCCTAGATATCAGGCATGAGTCAAAACTCAGAGAAAACTAAAAGCGATTGGTGAATTGTTACTTACCATTTGAAGGAAGATGAGGCCGATGCTATAGATATCAAACCTATCAGGCAAATTCATCTGTTCAAAACAAAACCATTAAACATTAAGATCCGACACTAATATTAACCAAGCTCGTGTAATCAATAATAAAGTTTGCACCTGCCACAGGACAGGGGAAAGTGCAGCTGCAACAGGTGCTGAAGGTGCAGATGGAGTTTGGGTGCTCATGATGTATTGCTCAGGTGCTGCATATCTGAAAGCAACAAGCCAAAACAAAAAATACTTATATCCAAGGTTTACAACTACTAAAAGGTTGACATATATGATCCTTGCAGAGAAAGATAAAGAGTTAAGACCTTGGATCCAGGAGAAATTCCTTTGGAATGTAGTTAATACCCACTCTCAAATCAGCAGCAGCTCCAAGATCAATAATCTTGAAAGCACGAGAACCTGCTCAATGGACACAAACACACATTTCTTCTTCATCCTCTCTCGAAAAAGGTTCAAGAACTAAGATCATTTTTTTACCTTCTGAGAAAATAATGTTCTGAGGCTTAACATCCCTATGTACAATCCCAGTTGAGTGAAGACCATCCAACGCAAACAAGAGCTGCCTCATGATAGTCTGAATAATAATATTCTCTCTTTCCAGCCCTTTAGGCAAGTCCTGAACTTTCCCAAGGATAATAGTTTCTACCTACATGATTCCACTTCAAAATGTGACAACATATATACCAGAGATGACTGCAAAAAGAATACATAAAAAAAGATAGAAAACACGAACATTGTAAGGGAAGTCTTTACTCTGAAGCAAACCAGCAAGTGTAGATTCTCCTTCATACTTCCATAACAGCCAATACTCAGGTCCTTTCTTTGAAGACTTCTGCAATTGTCAAAATCTACACACATGAGTGAAGTACTCAAAGTGAACAACTATAATCAACAAAGGAAGCTAAAACCTACCTCGAGAAACCCATAAACAAAATCAGCACAACTGTTCCCACAAGCTCTACGAACTCTCTCATTCATCCAAATCTCCACCGCACCGTACTCAGTCGCCTTCTTCACCACATACTCACCATCCTATCAATAAAAATGGTAACTTTAGGTTAAAATCTCAGCTTATAACAATCAAAGATTTGATCAAAAGCACTTACGTCATTAGCACGTTTCTTGGATAAAGAAGCTCTATAAACAACACCAAACGAACCTTCACCTAGTTTCTTCCCCAACACGAAATCATCCTGCCAAAAACCCCAAACCCTAATTAATGAAATCAAACGCACAAATGGGCTTAATCTAATTAATGAATCGAGCCCAAACTACAAGTGGGCCTTAGCTTTAACCAACCTTCCTGAAAGTGGGCCTAAACAATCTCTCAACGAAGGCTAAAACAAACATATCGAAGAACCCAGGAGCGACGCCAGGTGTCGCCCATAGATAAGATAAAGCGGTGAGAGCTAAGGCCACTCCAGGAGCGGTGATCGTTAAACCGTTGGATTTCGGCAAGGTGCTACGGTAGATCATGTCTCCGCACTCCATGACGGTGCATGGAAGCCCGACTCCGACTCCGAGGAAGAGGTTGTGAACGGCGTCGATGATTTGAGAGCGACAGAGTTTGTTAACCGTTGGTTTGGAGGTGGAAATGGTTAAGGAGAAGGGTTTGAGTTTCTTTCCGAGGAAGGGAGTGGGAGTTCCGATGTACGGTCCTCCCGGAGAGATTGTGGCCATGGAGGAAAGAAGGAAGTAGAGGACTAGAGGGAGAGAGAAGAAGAAGTGATAAGATATTATTTGTTTTTGTGAAACACAAAAGGAATACAAAGTTTTCCATAGTGAAGGCCCATTAATGTATAATAAGCCCACTACAATTTTTTATTTTTTAACACAAGCCTACTACAACTATATTGTCAAATGATCCTCTTGCTATGTGAATTAGGCATGCGGTTTGGGTTTATTCGTTTATATTAATTCGGTTAGTTCTGTTTTCAGTTAATTCTTTTTTCAGTTAGTTTAATTTGTCCAAAATGTCACTAAACTGAACTGAATAATTTAATTTATCCAAAATGTCACTAAACTGAATAGTTTAATTTTTCAGTTCAGTTTGGTTTTGAAATTTTTATCAAATTAAACCGGTACTTTTGGTTTTGGTTAGATTTTGATATAAACTTTTAATAAACTCAATAGTTTTGGTTAATTTCGGTTATATTCAGCTAAATTTAGTTAGTTCAACTATTTTGATTCAGTATGAAATTTGCTTTAAAAATTGTTTTTTTTTTCCTCTGAAACTGGATTAATATTGAACCAACCAAAAAACAATTAAAAAAAACTTTATAAATTTTAACTAAACTCAAAACCATAACCGAACCAAACTAAAATTTGGTTTGGTTTGAATATGATCTTCCTCTTATTTTTATTAATTTATTTACACATGGAATATGATATTGCACAAGATCGTATCAGCAAACGCATAGAAGTCTCCAATGTTATCTACAGGGGTGATCTGAAGAACTTCACTCCATTGCTATCGAGAAGTTCAAGACGACGGCTTAGCCTAATCCTGATAAACTTGCGGTACAATTTCTTGCTTGATTGCTTTGTTTCCTAGGGGGATGCGACATCATCATCGTCAAAATTGCACCAAAGTCCTAGGAACAAAACAAGAAAAAAAGGATGAGAGAGAGAGAAAAAAAAAAGTGATAAAATATTATTTGTTTTGTAAAAGATGAGGAATACAAAGTTCTGGATAGTGAAGACCCCCACTAATTGACACTAACTAATCCCACTACAATGATATTCTTGCTATCACTTGTCATTAGTGAATTAGACATGCAGTTTCGTTTCTTCAGTTTAATCAATTCAGTTAATTCAGTTGAAATTTCACTCAACTCAACTGAAAAGGTTCAGTTAGTTTAGTTCTTAGTTATTTCAGTCTTGAAAATTTTATTCAATTAAACTGATATTTTTGGTTTTGGTTATATTTTGATATAAACTTTTTAAAAGCTCCGATAGTTTTGGATAATTTCGGTTATATTCAGTTAAATTTCATTAATTTAGTTTATTGATTAGTTCAGTTTAAAAATATTTTTTAACCGAACAAATACTGAACTGAACCAAAAACCAATTGAAAAAAAAATTCTGAATTTAATGAACTAAAAATCATGACCGAACTGAAAACCAAGAATTTTGTTTCTGTTCTGGTATGAATCTTCCTCTTAGTTTCATTTTTTCACATAAAATTTAATGTTGCTCTTTTAGTTGTGTTTTAGCTAGTTGAAGAAGTTGCTAAATTCTTAACTTGCAAACCGGAAGACAATTTTCAGACCTTTGAGAAACAATTTGAGTTATGGATCCACCTCGACTAAAAATTCTAGTCTTCGGTTTCATCATCGTCACAGAAACGGAAATCACTTTCACTTTTGCAAACTAGATCACAAGTAAGGAGCCTTGCTTAACTTTTCAAAATTTATCAACACATTCTTATTAAAAACTATGCACATGTGTGCATGTACTAAAGGCAAACAATCCAAGCCAGTGCAGGTGAGCAAGAGTGACGATACTCCTAAAGGTAACTATAGCAACACATTCTAGGCTCTAGAAGAAGAAGCAGCACCCGGATTTTCAAATCTTGCTTTGATTGACAATAGTCAAATATGCATTTAAAGATTTATACTTTGTATTGAAATAATGATTGTAAACTGTCTTAGTAGATACATAAACAATTTCCATTTTTTATTTTTTTGTTAATTTTTTTTCTAGGAGAAGAAACAACACCATCATTTTCGAATCTTATATTGATTGACACAAGTGAAGTATACATTTAAAGACTTTAAGCATTTATATTTTTGTATTGAAATAATGATTTGTAGACTGTTTTAGTAGATACATATTTAAGTTCTATTTCTTTTGTTTGTTCTTTTACCTTTGTTGTTAATTTTCTTGTCTAGAAGATGCAGCAGCAACATTTTCGAATCTTACTTTGACTAACACAAGTCAAATGTGTGTTTTAAAGACTTTAAGAATTTATATTTTGTATTGAAATAATGATTTGTAAACTGTTTTAGTAGGTACATATATAATTTCCATTTCTTTTTTTTCTACTTCTGTTTTTTTGTTGTTAATTTTCTTTTCTGGTATAAAAGACTATACACGTCTACTTTAACAAAATCGAAGAAATTAATTATCAAACTGGAAAATATAAATAGTTTCCATTTTTTTATTTGTAAAATTTATAGAATTAAATAGATAATATGAAATACATCTTGCAAATCTTTGATATCTTCATATTTTCAAAAGGCTTTCAACATTATAAGAATAATCATGATCGATGGAACGGAGGCAGACATGTTAGGTCTTGTGGCACATCCAAAACGTTCCTTGGCTGGAAAATTCTTCACAAGTCTCGTACCACCGTCCCTTGACAGAACAGAAAGCTCACTGCGACAGCAATGGAAACTTTCAGGCAGCTTGAAGGTTCTCCCCTTCGAGAAATACAGTATTATCTTATTTGAGTTCGAGGAGAAGAGAGACAAGAAAGAGGTTTTAAAGAATGGACCTTGGAACGTTGATGGCACCTTATTAGTCCTCAAGAAATACCCACAAGACTTCTCCGTGGTCGATATTGATTTCTCTGTTGCTCGCTTTATGGTCAAGGTAATAGGCCTACCTAACTATATCTACACAGAAGATGATGTTGAGAAGATTTTGCAAAAGCTTAGTGATAAGCCATGGATTATATTTAAATTTGTTGAATTAACAAGATGCTTTTGGGTTGATGTTGAGTTAGATTTAAAAAAACCTCTGCCTCCAGGGTTTTACATTAATCGTAAAAGTCGTAGGCGAACTTTTGTTCAATTCAAGTACAAGAACCTTGGTGAGTTCTGTGAACATTGTGGTATGATTGACCATAGGATATGTGGAGAAGCCGCAAAGATGAGACCGTTGACCCGCAAGTTTCAAACGCGTGTGTATGGACCATGGCTTAGATACGACCATGAAGTATTGGCTTGTAATGTCTTACCCGTGAAGTTGCACTATTCTCAGCTTCAACCGTTTGCTGATATGGAGACAGTTACTTACGCTCAGTTCATGGTTATGGTCCAAGTTGATGTTGTTTACAAGAGCGAGCATGAGTGGAATGGCAAGAAACTGACTCGTTCCTTGTTAGTAAGTGGGGACAATGATTGCTTCCGTTTTTCTTGTTTTCCAACACAAGTCATTAAGGATGTTTTAGCGGTTGAAATCGAAAGGATCTTACCCCTGGCCAAGTTGACGTCAGAGGACAAAACCAGCATTGTCCTTGGCCTCGTGGACCGCTTAATGAAGCAGAGGAGGACTTGGTCGGAGCAGAAATGGATTCCTTACAAAGTTCGTGTCGAGAAAACAGTAATGGTGCCACCAGTGGATATGGAGGCTATGCTTGAAGAAGCCAAAGATCAAAATCTTCTTGAAAGCATTGGTACTAATGTTGCTAAAATGGTAGGCTCTCTTTTAGGGAAGTCAGACGATTTACTGATGGAGACTATTCGAGATGCGATCCGTGAGGCCGGTCTGACTCAGTTCCCAGATTCTTATACTGAGTCGTGGTTGACATGGGTTCAAAGGCAGGACAACTGTTCCAGATTATTCTTGCAACCTAACCGTCACAAGTTTGTCAAGGTGCTTGGCCCTGATATGGACTTGTTTGACACATGTTGTATATGTCAAGAAGATTTTTATCTTGGGGAGTACGCAACAGTTACTTCTCCTTGTTCTCATGTTTTCCACTCAAGCTGCATTGCAGACTGGATTAATAAATCCCCGAAGTGTCCACTCTGTTGTGCCCAGCTTGAAGTGTATACTTGGTATGATTAAACAAAATTCAAGGCTTTGATATCGAGTTTTGATGCCTTTTAGTGCAATTGATTGGTGAGGACAAACTAGGAGTGCAGCATGTCAAAAGTTCTGGTCCAGTGTTTGAGAGATAGATGAGCTATTTATTCACTGATTATGTTTCAATAGTTTTTTTTTGTTGACAAATAAACAAACCATCTTTTATTCAACACAATTTTGAGACCAAGAACATCACAAAAAAAGTCGCAAAATCTTTCATATACTTGTTTAAAACAAATAATTGTATATTTTCCATACCCTCCACATAGACTAATACATAATTCTGTGACAAAAAAAAAGACTAATGCATAATTAACCTTTTGACATATTTAGCTTCAACTGAAAAACGAGACAATACCTTTTGTTTAAGCATCTCCAAATGACAAGAGAACCAACAAGTGGTACCACTTAAACCTGTAAAAGACATCGTGTTAGCAGACAAGATATGAGATATCCAGTTAGAGTCCGAAAAGGCTCCTAACCACAAGTCTGGTGTTGGCATGAAACATAATACATTGACCTCGAGTTCATGTTACTTTTTTTATTTATCTCATAAATAAAAAAAGTAAGAAAGTGAGAAAGAAACGGATATAGGTTTGTAATTCATTTGGTTGCTTCAATCACCATAAATTCATTTCCAAGCTTCCAAACACATAAATGTATAGACAAGGAGAAAAAAAAAAGATCGATGTCAAAATAAATAACTTAATAGGAAAATACTTTTGCTTAGTGGATGTTTTCATGTATTAACGAATCTGCAGTTTCTTCGAACTTCTCCATCGACCAAACTCTTAGAGTTCAAAATATTCCCCATCTTCACCATCGACTTAGCAAATTGCTCGAAGAAAGCAACCGGATCCTCCGCGTACTTGCTCACTATCTTCCTTGTCTGTATACCGAACATGCTCGTGTACATCTCCTGGTCCGAGTTCAGCAACCCTTCTCCTTTCAGCAGCGTGTGGTAGATAGAGTTGTCGAATAGATTCGGCGTCACATTGTCCATAGCCGTCACGTTGCTGTCACCTTCTCCGCTTCTCTCCGGACACAACTCTCGGAGGCTCGCCAGGTATGTCTCCGACACAGGATTAAGAGCTGACGTCACCCGAAAATCACCGTAGATCCGTGAACGGAAGTTTCGGCATTGTGCCTTCCCTATCGTGTGAGCTCCTACGTACATGAAATGATCGGTTTGATGTTATAATAATCCGGTCTAACAGAATACTAAAATCAATTTCCGGTTTAGTTTGGTTTAGCTGATTGATCTTACCAACAAGAGCGACCATGTCTTCAACAGAGAGACCCTGATAGTAGAATTTAGAGATGATGCTGACTAAACCCTCTTCAGGAGTTGGAAGGTTCGTTGTGGCAAGCTCGTAGCTCGCTGTCTTTGAATCTTTTCTTCCCACTGGAACGTCCCAATAGGGCCCACCAACCTTTTATCAAATCAATATTAACATGTTATTTCAATTTCATAGTTCATATGATACTATATAATTAATATACATGATTGTTTGTGATAATCCCACATGAGATATTTACCATGATTGTAGCATCTCTGGCAGAAATTGTGAGAAGATCAGCGCAGGAAACAACTCCAGGACATTCGGATTCGATTATGTTCTTGATTCTGTCTACAATTTTGTATCCTTTCAATGAGTTTATGTTGGGAGAAGCTTTCTTCTCTCCTTGTAGTGTCTCTGTTTCGTCTAGTAACACTGATCCATCACATCCCTGCAATACAAGTTTAAGCCTTGAGTAACTAACCGTGCCACAAAGCAACTCTTTTTAGTTAAATTTCAGCTAAAAAGAGGCGGGTATATTTCTTGTATTTCAAGCAATATTGTATATGTACTTACTTGGACAAAGCAATCATGGAAGTGTAAACGAATAATTATGGCGGCATTTCTAGGATCTTCCTTCACTATGCATTCCATTTCTTTCTTGATTACGTCAAATACGTTTGGGCAAGTAGACTTGTAATAATCTAGGGTTAAAGGAAGATCATTTCCCGGTACATCAAAGGAAAAGCATGGGATAAAAATGGCATGAGTGATAAAGATCATAAGGAGGAGTTTCATTGTTCTTCTCTTGAAACCCTCTTTGATCCAATTTTGTTGGGAAATGCTAATGTCTTTGTGGGAGGTAGGGAGTGGGAGAAATTGGGTGGGACTTCAAATAGATATATAAGTTTTAGAGAAGTAGGTATTGTAAGGTTTTAGATTTCTTGTGTCAAAAGGGTCTTGACAAGGTTGGTCAAGTGAGATGCAACTAATTCTGTGAGATGGTTGTTGGGGTTTCCTATGACCTAAAGATAAATTAGATGGAAAGTTCATTTGAACAATAGTACACATGGTTACCACACCAAAATCATAAGTTACCATAAAATGTACTATTTCCACATTTATATTCTAATTTTGTTTCAAAAGTTTTTTATTTTGTGTGTTTGCATTAGTTGTAACCATGTTCATTATAAAATTGATTCTTCAAACACATCTTGAAGTCTCGTTGTTTTTGTAGTTTGCTCAACTGTATTTGGTCATCAAAATGACATTTTCCATGGTCACGGAAAAATAACATATTAAAATTATATTCATAACTCAGTTTTCATATTTTCAAAATATGATTTCAACGCCGGTTGTGACACGACAGCGACACTTATGCAAACGCTGCTCCAAAAGTAATATGGCATATTATCTATACAAAATATAGGTGAGTTAGGAAGTATAAAATAGAGGTGAGATTGTTGTTCAAAAAAAAAATATAGACGTGAGATTTGACCCAAAAAAATAATAGAGGTGAGATATGTAGGTCGCCAAAAGATTACATGAATAATTTTCAGGTTAATATTTGAATTTCTCTTAACCTCAGCAATATATATATATATATATAGTTTTTTTTTGTCAAATATCTTATTTTATATATATAGTTTTGTAATTATACTGCTAATTGTTCTTCTCTTGCTTTGTCTCCTTTCCCTCAAATAACGAAAGATCAAAAGTAGTGAGTTAAAGAAAGAAAGAAAAAGATCAAAAGTAGGAGGGAAATTATGATCCACTCGTTGTCGTCATATTGATTTATACGATTTGATTAAAGGACACTTAAAATAATAGCAACGTAGTCCAACAATGAACAATCAATGATAAAACTTAAATTTATTTTAATCGTCGTCACCTTGCTATTAACTTATTACTTAAAAAAAAAAAACTATTTCCAGTTTTCAAAACGGTGTAAAACAAGTTTATATGGGGCATGGATGCATTAGTTGGAAGAAACTTGTGTTTAGGTGGTTTTGGTAAAGAGGTAGGAGCTTTTGATGACGTATTCGTCATGACCTCTTAGATTTATGTATCTGCCGCCTTATACCAATGCAATTTAAATCGAAGATACATATTATACTAACATCCGAAGGATTAGATCATCCCCTGATTTTTGAACTAGAGGCGACCCCAAGACTATTATTTTGAAAGATTGGGCCAAACTTTTGTTTAGTGTGTGACTTCCTGATCAGGCTACGAACTCAAAACCATGCCAACGAAACTCTCTTCTTGTTTTCTGGAGAAGAGAGTTTTATATAATGCATTTTACCTTCAAAGCTTTCTCATGACCCACACATATATACTTAAACTACTTTTACTATAGTTTACAATCTTTAAATTCTAGGAGCGCCAAAAACGTATACTTCAGTGATTTAATTGGTGGTCTTGTGAGACCCGCATGAATAATATAAAAACAAAAACCTAACACAATAAATCCGTCTGAATCTATTAATCTAAAACAAGGACCCGAGCTTAATTGACTTGACGTTTATGAACTTATTATAGAGCGAAATGTCCTTTCACAATCTCTCCACGATCTTAACTTCTTCATGTTTTTATTTTTAGTTGAATTATGATTACTTTTTGTTAGAGGTTTATATATGAATACAGTAAAGCAAAGAATTTCGAAACCAATAATATATATGAATGTGACCAAAAAATAATATATTTGTGTATACACATTCAATTATTGCATTTTTAGGATACCATGTTACAGAAGAGAAAAGAAAACAAAAAAAATGGGCCGAGAAATCTAATCGAAAGGTATGATGTTACAGCAGAGATTTTTGTCATCTTATCTAAGATGGCAACCAAATCATGAAAAATGCTTGAAGAAGTATAGTGGTGTGTCTAATTTAAATGAGAGAAGTTTCCAAAGTGTATACACACATCCAATAATAATTTAATAATTTCACATGGGAGACTTATGAGCAAGAGACAAATGAATCCATGGGGAAGTATACCTGACAAAAGCAGGCATTCAAAGCAAAGCAAAAAAGTTTGGTGCTAAGGGACATGCCCACTTTCTTCTTTAACAGCAACCAGGCAACATGGCATTTACTAATTCATGTTTAAGAAAACTTTTTAGCATATTTTTTTGATAAAAATCCATGTTCGAGAATGCGCTAGGCGCTAGTCAGACGGTTCGATTGGACCTAATACCTAGAGAGAAAATTGGAGATTTAAACGGGAATTATACGGAGCAGAATTTTTATACTATTTAATATGTTATAAGATATATTAATCTTTAATTGTGTATAACATTAATACATTTTCATGTTTAGAATCTTATAAGCATACACAAATAGAATATACAAAGTTAATATGATAATATTTCATCAAAATTATAATTTATTAAATTTTAAAACAAATAAAGGATAAAAATATTATTAAAAATAAAAAATAAAAAATAGATTAGGCGGCTAGGCGGTCATCTAGACGGGCTAGGCGGATTAAAATCGGAAGACCGATTTTCTATAGTGATTTGGCATAAATCGGGGCGGAAGAGGGTCGCCTAGCGTCTAGACGGCCGCCTAAACAGCCGATTTTTAGAACAGAGATAAAACCTTTTTAGCATATTAGTTAAAATGTTCATAGACTCATCATATACTTAAAACAATTTTTTTTCTGGTAAACCATATACTAACAAGATAAGAAAGTAATATTCTAGAATCCATCTATATACATATGAGAGTGAAAGAGAAGCCAATCCAAATTTTCACTTTTTTTCTCACCTACTCACCCACCAGTGTAAAAAAAAAAACAATACTCGATATAATGTAATATTTCTAAATCATCAACATATTGGCCATAAGTACTGTCCGCTTAATCCCATTAGTATTACTAATGGAAGAAAGATATTATTACAGAGAGGAACAGTACACTCACTCGTGTTGGATGAATGATAGATAGTACAACGACCCACATGAGAAAATACAAATGAGTCTTCCCAAAAAAAAGCTTGGAGGCATTTAACGATGTGTACAATTCTAATAAATCTTAATATACATCCACTCATGAGACCCACAAGGCGTATTATGATTTGTACTATGATGATCAAATTTTCATACAGTCCAAAAACTGAATTTACTTGAATCCTACTACAACACCATACCCATTTATAATGTTATCAATAGTTTCTCTCTTTCTCCCCCATTTGATTGTGCTTAACTGTAACAAATATGAAATCCAAAACGACTGTAAAAAAATGCAAAGACGAAAGGCATAAACAAGAAGTTGGAAGTAATTTACTCATCACTGTTTTGTCATTTTCCTCAAGAATAAAAAGACAGTAGTCAGTAAATCCAGTTGGGTTTACCTTCAATGCAAATAGAAAAAAAAAACTCTATATATTGAGAGAGAGAGGAGAGAGAAACCAAAAGGCTGCAACACTTTTTATGACCAAGACAGGACTGAGAAGGAAGAGGAGTATTAAAGGAATGAGGAAGAGGAACAGCTCCTAACCTAATTAAGAAAATAGGTTTTCATATTCCTTCTTGTTTGTTGAGTGGGTCTTATCTTATTGATTTCCACCTCAAAAAAAGCTGAATCATTTTATAGTTGTGGGATTGATTGTAACTCAGTGAACGAGACAGAGAGAAGTAAAAACTAGTAAATGTTATGTCTATCCTTCCTATCATGTGGTTATTATTATCAATAAAAAGAAAAATAAGAAACAAAAAGGTAACCAATGAGCATTGTTTAGATATCACTTAATGAGAGAGAGCTCATAACAGATAAGTCTGGTTTGGTGGGTATTGATATACTGTGTCTGTGTGGTCCGAACCGTGTTTTTGGAACTATAAGTTCATTCGATTCCATAGAGATATATCTCTCTATAAAAGAGAGTTGTATAGACAATTATATATTTTTTTTTAATTGAAGCTGTACTATTTTTATTTCAAGAAGTCACTTACTAACATTTTCTCCTTCATATCTATATCTGAAAATGGCTTGTCTTGTAGTTATTCAATTGAGAGAAAACAGTGGTGTTAGAATTGCCATGTGGTGATACTCACTCCTGGTATTCATTTATAAGAGTGATTCAATAGGCTCCAGCTTTTCTTGATTCTTAAACACAAGAAAGGCAAAAAAAAAAGATAAAACACAAAAGACAAAGTATGTATTCATCATGATGAAGAGTAAAGCTAAAGACAGCGAGAAATACTGAGGCTAGGTAAAGAGATTGGAACAAGCTGAGGTACGTAAACATTTTCAAAAGAAAAAAAAATAAGCTAAGTTAACTTTGTGTGGTGCCAATGGAGTCTCCAAGGATCCATGGAGAAGGTGCTGAGGAGAAGAGTAGTTGTGAATCAGGATGGACTATGTACATAGACCATCACTCTGAGGTTGTCTATGAAGAATATGATGATGATGAACGTGCAAGAGAGGTTGATGATGATGGTGAAGGTGATGATGATAATGATGATAGTAGTGGAAACCGGAGCGATGACTCGATGACTTCTGATGCATCTTCATGGCCTACCACTCAGGTTCCAAGGAAAACCAAGAATCATGCAGCTGCAAAGAAGAGCAATGGCAAACAAGTCAGTCATCAGACAAAGAACAGAGCTTATGAAAAGTTCAGCGACGAAGAAGAGGAATCTGAGTTCAAGGCTAGAACAAGAACCACTACAACTAGTCGAGCTCAAAGTAGAGGTAAGGTGAGCAAAACCAAATAAGACTTATCAATACATGGTTTTAATTTCTATTTGCTATATCCAATGTTCTCTTTGTCTCAAGGAAATTAAGTAACGACCATGTAGTTGTTTTCTTTTCATTTGAGATTTATGTGTAATTGCATTGCTTTCTTTAACAGGATTATGTTTTTGCTTAAAAGCAAATCCCGTTCTTTGGAGCTATGCTAATAATATCTACCATTTTCTGCACATACTCCGTTCTAACACAAAAAGGGAACAATTCAATAATCCGTAGCCATTGAAAAAGCAAAACATGTACACGAACTACTCATTCATTCAAATAGGTTCAGATCCAAACGATTTGAGTTTAGAATAAAACAAAGAGGTTGATGACAAAACAAGAGTTTCTAAGGTTTTTACTAGGTGTGGCCCCAAAGTAGCTAACAAACCATAGCCCTTTGCCTGTAACAAAGAGTTTCTGCTTTCAATGCCTTCACATGATTCTTTTTTTCAAAGGAACAACTTACAATCATTCAAGATATGTCATTATCAACTTTTACCAAAACTTTACATACCAAAATTCATAAAATAGTAAGCTCTTTATAAAAAAAAATTCATAAAATAGTAGTATTTCACATCAGGAAAAGAGTTATAGAAGATCCCAAAAAAAGAACATGTTTGCGATATTCTTCTTACCTTTTCAACACAGTAAGAACCATGTAGCTTCTGCATGTTCACAACAGTAAATACATGGCCGACATTTAGCCCCCAAATTTTAAATAGTTAATATGTACAAGATTGTTTGGGTCTTTGATAAAAAAAGAAAAGATTATTTGGCTCTATACCAAATATATATTTGACCTTTTTTCTTTGAAAGAAAATATATATTTGACCTTTAAACCGTAATTGTTTCAAGTTCCATAAATCTCAAAGCCAATCCTAAATAAATATAAATGTAGCTATCAGAAAAAGGAAAAAAAGAGTAAGAGTTTCTACTATGACATGATTTCAACTGAGAGTCAAAATCTCAATAGCAGTGTCATTCGATGGATCAGTACATTGAGGTAGCATGATGCATAACTGTAACTTGTAATCAATATAACAGTTCAAAGTCTTAGAAAATGACTGAAAAGTTATTAGACTTATTGGGGCACATTGAATTGAGAGCAGAAAACAACAAAGATTTTTTAGCTGGCAGCTTGCTAAGAGAGGACCGCCTTCACGTAGATGTGATTCTCAAGTCACTTTCGAGACTGTAATCTCAAATCCACCATGCACGTGCAGAAGCAATAAACAGGTAGATGATAATGAAATAAGGGTCGTCCAATCTAATTCTAAGACCCACAAATTTGTTAGAGATTAAGACCCGGTAAATGCACAACACATTGGACTTGGTCTACTAATTTCAACTTCAGGAAGAACGTAGAACCAAACGAGCAAAGGCCAAGAACCACATGCATTTCGACTAAACAAATGGCATTTGCACACGTTCCACTGGTATTTGAAAATGACACCCAAGGAAAAGATTAACAAAATGCAACCACCAATTATTAAGAGGGGTTTCAGTAACATATCTCATAATTGCCTAGGAAAACAATACCATAGGATAAGCAAAACTAACCTTTAACTCTCTTTTTTTCAAGAATATTGTATGTTCGAGAAACTGGCACATTCACATAACGAAACTAGAATTTCATAAATCATTAGAGAATATTAATTAAGCCCATTTAGCTTTACACTGGATACAGAAACTAGTATTCGAAACATGAAACCTAAGATGGCAGAATTCAACCAGAACCGGTCTTATCTCTCAAATTTTAAGGAGGCAATATTATTAAAAAGTAATTAAATATTTGTAATCCCTAAAATCTCAAGACCGGACATGTATTCAATATCCGATCACTCTATTGAACAAGACCATTGTAATATGGGCTGTTCGAACTCCATATAGCTGTTCCAGTTTGCAATACATCTGAACCTGAAACCTGAGAATATTGATTGTGTCAAACACTATTGGCTTCAAAAAAAGAGAAAAAAAATTGTAAAATTAACTTGCAGACAACTTTAGTATTCCAAACTAAACAAAACTTTATTTTCCTCCATAAAAACGCTATTACAACACCCTTAATTACTTTCAAAATTAATTCTCATTCTATATTCCAGATTTTCAGCTTTCACTGACTAATTACAAAAGCATGACATACCCATATTGACAAGTATCCATATTGGAGCTTCTCGTCGTGTTATGGTAATTATCCGAGAATATTATTCTTGTTTCAATCATATGGTTCTAAAAACAATATTTGACTCAGGTTTAGATCTAATAATTATTCTCAGACTGCCAACTGGACAAGGCGTAAGAAAGGTATAACATGCTAATCAAAGTCGAAACTTCATGATGGAGATGATTGAGTTATGTCAACGGCATCACTTTAACGGTGGAAATTTTCGGCAAAGAGATCAGGCTGATGTGATGGCGACGTGCGTACTGCGTAATGAAGATTTTGACATTTCCAAATTTATCGTATTTTGTGGGCAAGGACAATTTGTACGGTTTGTCTAGCCATCTGGACTTTAATCAAATACACAAATTTGAAAAAAAATACACTTAATATAATTTATTTGTTTCAGTTACAACTTATTTCTGCATTTTTCGTACAAGTAGAAGAACAAGAGACGCTTACTATGACTTCTTGTCAATATTGCGTTATATCAAACAATAAATATTGATTTGATGACTCCTACTTTGATTTATTGTATTTATATCGAGTTATTTCAAAATTAGAAGATAAATTACTTCTTTGTTGATAAATCAAAGAAAATCTCTTACGAATTATCTCGGGCTAGATATTAAGACAGAGGGGCCGAGACTGGGAGGAGCGGGTCTGACATGGTGGAAGAAAGCGACAAAGCAGAGGACAGAGGTGATGAGAGCATATAATCCAAATCCAATCATCAGAGAGAAACTGGCAACGATCAGATCCATAGCTGTCTGAGTGCCCATTATTATCTTCAGATTTTTCGAGTTGAACTTACAACGTTAAGATCATGTTTTTGGACGAAGAAGAAGCAGAGAGGGTTTAAACTTTGAAAAACAGAATGCATTGCACTTGCCGTGGGACCAATGTAACTCGCATTGCCACTTTACGTGATAAACTCTAACTATCAAAACATTTTTGTAACAGAACTATCTTTAAAAAAAACAAGTTGTGGTTAAAAAAAATTAATATCTAAAAAGTAAAAAAAAAATACAAGAAAAAGCAAAAAAAAAAAAGGATTTGTGATTAGATGAATTATATTTGGATGGAGATCCACCAAAAAAAAACAGAAATAGAGGCACTAGTGTAGGAAATGTCACTAGTAAAGAACATAATTTAGTAAAAATAGTTACTAATAATTGTTTTATACTCCATTTGTTTATTTTAGTTTTGTACGCATGGATTAATAAAACAATTAATTTTACATATTTTCAATATAAAACATAATTACTTATACATCTAATCATATTTTAACCAATAAAAAAAATTTACATATAAAATTAATAAATTTGTATTGAAAACCGGAAATAATACTTTTGTAAGGAAAAAATTTCTCTATTGTGACAAGAAAGTATCTTTTTTTATTATTCTTAAGAGGCTACAAGTAAAGAGCATGTCACTATACAGCTACAATCAATTAAAAGTACTGAGAAACAACAAAGAGGATCACAGAAGAGATTTTTCCTTGAGGCTCAAAACAGTGTCTCTAAGGGTTGTTTCGGTAGGAGTGAACTCAATTCCCAGACTTCTCACCTTCTCAACACACACTTTGTATGTCACTAAATCAAGCTTCATGTCAACATGGTTCCTAATTTTTTTTTATAATGGTTAAATTTGTAGAATCAAAACATAATTGTAGTAAATAAATAAATGGATAAAAGCAAAAAAAAAAAAACTCACTTATCATCATCACCAATGCACAAATCAGGGAAGAATTCACGCAACACTTTCTCAATGTCGTTTAATGTCACAACAACGGGACCATCAATGATATATCTACCATTGGCTGATGGAGTCTCGAATGCCTTGATATGAGCTAGAGCAACATCTCTCACGTCCACAAACCTATAATGTTTACTCATAAAAGGATCCTTACCCTTTGTCAGATCCACAACCACATCTACAGATAAATTAAGAGTTGGCTGCAAGAGTGGTCCAATAACAAGTCCTGGATTCATTACTATCATGTCGATCTCATTGGCTTTGGCAAACTTCCATGCTGCATCTTCGGCCAAAGTCTTCGAGAGTGCATACCATTGCTAAACCAAAGAAAATGAAAAAAAAAAAAAAAACTAAAAAGTAAGAAATATAAAGCTAGTTCTCATGAACTTATTGATGTGTTATATAACTTATAATAGTTAAGAGACCTTCTTCTCTTCACAGAAATTTGGATTAGAGAACATGGTTTCATCTACTAAGCTGTTTGGTCCAATGACGGACACATGAGCAACAACTGCCGCGATGGACGATGTTACAATGACCCTTTTGACAGAAGACATTTTGGTACATGTCTTTAGGACGTTTAAAGTACCCTTGACTGCCGGATCGATCAGTTCAGCCTGCACAATCCAACGGTGAATTCACGTAAGTTAATTAGCTATATACTACTTAATTAACTAATCTTATTTATGTATTATTTCTCATGTCCTCTCAAATTTCATATGTGGGATTATATTACTACGTGAAAATCATTGATCAAGTAAACTAGTAAATATTGTGTTGGTTGTTGACGCACCTGAGGATCATCGACAGTGAGTGTAACCGGTGAAGCAGTGTGGAAGACAGCTTCACATCCATCGACTGCATGATCAAAAGAACCTTCTTCTAAAAGATTTGCTTTGAATAATTTGAGTCTTTCTTTTGCGCCATCAAGTGCAAGAAGATGATCCGTTTTCTTTTGATCATCTACAGAAAAAAAATGCACATGTTAAAGTGTACTTTAACATAACTTCATTAGTTCTAGACTTGTCTCACTTGGGTTTAGTATGGTAACATAACTTCATTAGAGCACCATCAACCCTAACACCTCTAGTGGGGTGCTTAATCACTTATTTATTAATAAATTGGTGTTAAGCACTCTATTAAGAAACCTCACCATTTTTGTCCTCCAACCCTAGCACCCCCAATTGTTTCTTATCATGATAACATTTTTTTTTTTTTTTGACAATTGATTACCTGAAACAGTTCATGAACCATCCTAACTTCTTCACCAACATACTTCTTAACAAGCTCACTGCCAATATCTCTTATAAAGCAAGCAACGGTCTTATTGGCAACAGCTCTAGCCAACATGGTTTTACCGGTACCAGGAGGACCGTAGCAGAGAACACCCTTGGGAGGATCTATTCCAAGCTTCACAAACTTTACTGGGTGAAGCATGGGCAGTTCAACGACCTACAACCAACGACGAGAACAAAACTTTTAACAATTCACTTCCCAGAAAAGGTATACCACAAAACAACATCAAACTCAATCCATTGATAACACTCACAACATCAGAAACTTAAAACAAGAGTATATAAATGAAACTAGTGTCAAAGGCTCACCTGTACGTGGTAACGAACATCATCAAACTCAATCCATTGATAATCTAGCTCCACTGCTTTATCAAGAGACGGTAATGGATTTATCTTGTCGTTGTTTCTTTGATGAGAGGATGTGATCCTTCTGATGAAGTCTAGTCAGCAAGCTCTCCAGTGTTTCCCCTTCTTGTCTCTTTGTATCTTGAATGAAAGATACATACATCCTATAAAACAGTCAGCTATAATCCACAGTTATTCAATCCACAAACAAAAAAACATTGAAAAAATGCTAAGAAAGATATAAAAATCAAACCTTTCTTACAAAACACATATCAGTTCTTGGGAAAAGGTTTAAGATTTCTTGAGCTAGTGATCATCACAGTCCAAGTTACAGAACTTCTCTCAGGCATTTCGTCGAACACTTTGTAACTAAATGGAAAGAAACTAATTAGTGAAAGAGATAAGATGAATCACCTGGAGATGCTCTCTTACTTCTTCTTACGGCGCTTTCTCTCTGATTTTCTGCAACGCCAACATGATTCCTTTGAGATTGCTGCACGATCCACACAGAAATCAATGGTGAGTCACAACCTAAGTTAAAATCCGAAGAAACAAAGAAGGAAACAGACCTAGAATCGTTATTGGTTGATTCAGTATCGAAAGAGAAGAAAGGTATGTGTTGGTGAAATCGATTTGTGTCTCCATGACTGAAAAGATTTGTTTTTCCAGAAAGAAAGAGAAGAACAAGCACCGAATAAGCACCGTAGCTTCTGTGTCTTAATTAAGCGCTGTTGCTTAAGGTAATTATGTTTTTTCTTTTTTTTTTAATTACAAAAATACCTAAGCATCCCTCCTAGCACTCCCGTTAATGGTGCTCTTAGTTCTAGACTTGTCTCACTTGGGTTTAGTATGGTACCACTTATACGGCTATAGGCTATATCTGTCTGTATATTGTAAAAAGTGATATTTGATTTAGAGATTTAGAGATATGGAAACAAACTTGGGTCTCGAACGGTGGCCCTGACAGTGTAGCCACGGATAAGCAAAAGCTTAACAATCCATGACGCTATGTATCCAGAAGCTCCAGTGACACAGACTATGTTTCCTCCGCCGTTCATCTTTTTTTTTTTTCTCTTCTAATTCAACTGCAGGGATTGGAGTGTCAACCACATCGTAGTGGTCGTTTTGTAACACACACGTCTAGGCCAATTGAATTAGAGCACCCGCAATCGTATTATCCTCGAGTCTTTTTTTTTTTTTATAACACTTGGAAAAAAGATTGTTCAATAATGGGTACATGAAATACATAGAGCAAATTAAACTAAAAAGATGGGAGATCAGTAGACCCCAACAGCATGAAAGGAAGCTTACCTAGCTGATCCCTTATTTTTGAACCTCCAAAGCGAGAAGATGAAAGAGCCAGGCCGGGGCATGTCTGGCTATGTATGATTGGTGGCGCTGATCACGAGTGACACTTATGGCGATAGCCGCTGCTGCTNTCCATATGTCTATCCTTGCCAGGAGAGAGAGTATATTATGGCATATGAGGCGGTAGTCATAGGGATGTTGGTTCTCAGGCTGTGTGAGAAAATTATGGAGGTTGACGGACGATGTCTCAAAAATAATTTTTGAGAAGTGTAAATTAGCCATACATTCGACCGCCCAAAACAAAGCCCATAAATCAGCTTCAGTTTTTGTACGCATATAAGAATACGCCCGACGGCTATGCATGATTGTAACCCCATTACCATCACGTAAAATCCATGATGCCCCACTAGGTTGATTGGATTTGACCCACGAAGATCCAATATTACATTTTAGGAAACCCATGGACGGGGGTTTCCATCGGATCATTTCCGTAACGGTATTAGTATCCACATCTATCCTTTCAGTGAAGGTATCAACCCATTCAGATTCTGCTTCATAAGCTTTCGTAGCCACGACCGATGCATCAATCACTTTACTCTCAAAAGTAAAGATATTCCGAGCTTTCCAAATTTCCCATAGGAGCCATGGGAATACTTTCCTTGTATGGTTATCCATATTGTTGTTCTTGGCAGTCTTATTCAGATGCACAAAATTTAAAAAGGTTGACGTGCACGAGAAACCCCCTGGAGGCATCGGAAAATTCGATTGTTCCCATATTGCTCTTGCTTTATCACAAGTAAAGAGGACATGACATATACTCTCAATCCCATTACTACATAAAGAACATGTTTGATCAATAAGTATACCCCGAGTAGACAACCGTTGTTTGACAGCTAAAGCACCAGATAGAGCTCGCCACATAAAATGTTTGATTTTAGGTGGTGCCTTAGTCTTCCATAAATCCTTCCACAATTGTTTTTCAATGGGACTGAGAGAGACCTGCGGAGGGTGGTCACAATCCTTAAGAGCCTCTGAAAACTTATAAGCACTTCGGGTCGAATATGTACCATTTGATGTAAAACCCCATTTATAAGAATCCTGGAAATCTACTGCCGGTTTCAGTAATAGTATTCTTTGAACATCTTGTGATGAGAATGTCTGATGTAACAAATTAGTATCCCATTGGTTTGATCCTTGAAGGATTAAATCAGAAACTTTCAACGCTAGGTTTATGGGACTATTATCCTTATACATCGGAGACCGTGGAATGGTATCAATAATCCAATTTTCTGCCCAAACGTTAGTATCCTTCCCGTTACCAATATGTCGAACCAATCCCTTTTTGAGTAATTCTCTACCATGCATAATGCTTCTCCACGCGAAGGAGGGACGTGTCCCCATACCACAATCGAGGAAATTACCATTTTTGAAATATTTACCCTTAAGAATGCGAGAAACCAAGGAGTCCGGATTATTCCAAATTCGCCAGGCTTGTTTCCCGAGTAAGGCCTGATTGAAACGGCCAATGTCATGAAAACCAAGTCCTCCTTGCTCTTTTGGTTTACATAACTTTTCCCAAGCTACCCAGGGGATCTTTCTTTTCTTATCCCCACTACTCCACCAAAACTCTATAATTGCACTCGTGATTCGTTCACAAAGGCCCTTTGGTAACCGAAAAACCGACATTGCATANGTTTCCCGAGTAAGGCCTGATTGAAACGGCCAATGTCATGAAAACCAAGTCCTCCTTGCTCTTTTGGTTTACATAACTTTTCCCAAGCTACCCAGGGGATCTTTCTTTTCTTATCCCCACTACTCCACCAAAACTCTATAATTGCACTCGTGATTCGTTCACAAAGGCCCTTTGGTAACCGAAAAACCGACATTGCATATATTGGGAGAGCTAAAGCAACTGATTTTATTAAAACTTCCTTAGCTCCCATCGACAAAGTTTTGGAATACCACCCCTGCAATCGTCCCTCTAATTTCTCCTTTATGAAGTTTAGGAGATCTATCTTTGATCCCTGAAAGCATTCGGGTAGTCCAAGATATGAGCCCTCACCACCTTCTTTTTCAATCCCCATGACCGTCTTTACTGCTCGTTTTGTGTCTTCTGGAATTTTTTTTCCAAAAATGATGGAGGATTTCAAAGGGTTAATCATTTGCCCAGACGCATCCCCATAAAGTTTCAGACCTTTCATAATTTCCTCGCTGTCCCTGGTAGAAGCTTCACACAACAATAAGCTATCATCAGCAAATAACAAATGATGTACCGAAGGGCTACCTGTGGCTAACTTGATACCATGTAAATTCCCAGCAGCCTCAGCTCTGTTCAAAACATGAACCAAGGCCTCTGCACATAAAATGAAAAGAAAAGGAGATAAGGGATCTCCTTGACGTATTCCTCTTTCAGGTTTAATAAAACCATGGGAGCGTCCATTAAGTAATACTGAAAAAGTAACTGTTGAAATGCACGACATTATCCAAACAACCCATTTGCGATCAAAACCCAATTTCTCTAATAATACCTCAAGGAAGTTCCACTCTACCCTATCATAAGCCTTAGACATATCAGTCTTGATAGCCATACTTTCTTTTCCAAGCTTATCATTCGTTCGGAGCCCATGAACTAATTCATGGGCTATAATGATATTATCAGTAATTAAACGTCCCTCAACAAAAGCTCCTTGTGTCTCTGATATTATATTAGGCATAACAACCTTCAAACGTTCACATAAAATGCGAGAAATAATCTTATATTGAACACTACAAAGACTAATGGGTCTCATGTCCTTCATCTCTGTAGGATGTAAAATTTTTGGTAGCAGGAATAGCTGTGTATGATTCCAACCAGCAGGAATAATGGCTGTTTTAAAAAAACCTTGAACATCGTCAATAATTTTCTGACCAACTATGTGCCAATATTTCTGGTAGAAAAAACCGGTTAGACCATCTTCGCCTGGAGCACTACTACTTTTAATACCAAAAGCCGCCTTCTTGATTTCTTCAGAAGAAACTTCTCTGGTTAATGAATTGTTCATCTCCGGAGTAACCCTACTTACAAAACCATCAAACAAAGTTTCTAGATCACTTGGGTTTGAACTTGAAAATAAGTCTCTAAAATATTCAGTAGCAATGTGCCCTTTAGACCCTTCTGAATAATTTTCATTACCAAAGATATCTTTAAGCATCAAAATCTTATTTCTTATTTTTTTTCCTTTAACAACATTATGAAAATAAGTAGTATTTCTATCCCCTTCCCTTAACCATTCTTCTCTACTTTTTTGCCTCCAAAAAATTTCTTCTTCTCTATAGGCCATTGCCAAATCATGCCTTAGTCTCCTTACCAACCCAGAAATAGGAAATTGCTTTGAGGTTTCCTTATCCAACTCATTTTGCAACCGTTCTATCCTTGTTTTTGAATTCCAATCATTTGTTTTTTTCAGCTTAGATAATTCCGACCGACATCGAGCAATACGATCAAGAACATTAAGATTCGAGTTAACATTGTCTCCGTCCCATCCTCGGATAATGGCTTCCTCTACCCCTCGTTTTCCATATAACCGTCGATCAAAATAAAACCGTCCTCGTTGCAAGTTCTCCGGTTCCAGAGCAAACTCAATACGTAATGGACGATGATCAGAAGGCCACATACTCATATATTCCGTTGACGATTGAGGAAATAGTCGAAACCATTCAGCATTACCAAAGCTTCTATCTAAACGGCATTGTATCCAGTTATGATCCCTTTTACCAGCCCATGAAAGGGTATTACCCGTGGATCGCATCTCCCGAATTTTACAAGCCTCGGCCATGTTCCGAAAATCGAAGAAGGTGGTCTCTTCTCTAGTAGGACCCCCTAATTTTTCTCCATTATGCATTAGTTCATTAAAATCCCCAACCAGAACCCATGCTTCATCTCTACCCACACCAATGTCCGTTAATTTGTCCCAGACAAAACGTCTTCTTCCTCTTACCGGATCGCCATATACACATGAAAGGAAAAAAACCATAGAGCCCATTGTCACCTTGAGGTCAATAATTCTGTTATCACTATAGATGATATCGGCTACGTAACAACTTTTCCACATTAAAGCTAACCCACCGCTACGTCCAATCGGTTCCACCGTGTGTAAGCAATCGTACCCCAAACTTGATTTTAAGGCATCCATATAACCCAATTTTTGTTTCGTCTCCATTAAAAATATAAAGTCCGGAAAATACTGGCGGCGTAAATCCCTAATCCTTTGAACCGTATCCGAACCCCCAGCACCCCTACAATTCCAACTTAGTATACTCATAAAATTATTTTTTACGAATGTCTCCCATAGACAAGGTATAATAATGACCATATCATTACACCACAATTATATAACTCAATTTGTACACATTGGGACCTTATTAAAAAAATCCATTGATACCATATAAGAAGCCAAAAATATCTGATCACTTTATATTTTGGAACATTTAGATTAAGGTATCCTTGGTTATTTAATCTAAAAATGTTGCTATACCGGACATCAATGCACGTTTGATATCTCCATATTTCTCTCTGATCAAAAAGTCTCTGGGAAAAAATAATTGCCAAATACCACCCAACAAATTCACATTCAAGTTCATCAATCCAAACCATAATTTTATTTTTGAACCCATTATCAATGATTGGAATCCGAACAAAAGATGAATACCCACACCACTGTTTGGACTTGATCTTAACGTGAAGATAATCTGGTGTACTGTAATTAATAAAAAAATGTCGCATCCCATTGGAGAGACAGCAATAAGTATCAAAGGTAAATGCTAAAGAACCATAATCACATGTAAACTTCATCATCTGCCAAACCCTGTTACCAAAGACCGACGTAACCGGAATAACCAAAAAGACTTGCCAGTCAGCACCATGATCATAATATTGAGCCTCATCTAACCATCTCACACCACAAAACTCAGGCCACAGCAGCTCAATCAATGACAATTGTCGAACAAAATACATATAAATGTTACAAGGCACATGTTTCAAATTCAAAAAGTGTAGTCCGAACAAGATACTATCTGGATAGCACCATCTAAGCCGGCTTATATAACAAACAACCAAGTCTTGAATCTTCGCAGAAGGCATTAAAGATGAAACCTGACCAACAAAGAACAAGACAGAGTAACATCCACAATTAAGACCTGAAATCATTCTTATTACCATGTGTTTCCCTTTCACTGTTGTGCCTAGTAAACCTGATAAATTAAAATAAAAACCGAGAGGAGGATTAAAACCTAAAAAAAATCGAGAGAGCGATGGCGATTGCGATTTTTTTCAAGATCTTCTGATCTACTATGTTATCTACGTATTATTACCGGGATCTCCACATTGGTGTTAATGGGTTATTTCGGATATTGGTTTCACACGGTTGGGATTTGATTCTTGATTGGGTTTTGAGGGTTAAAGGGGATCTGATGGGATGGATGGTTCATAATGGTGATTTACTCCTACACGATTTTCTGGATTTGGAGGATTCGATGGAGATACTTTGCATCTCTTCTAAAAAAAGGTTTGATTTTTCTTATTTGCTGAGATCGTTGGGAGATTTGTGGGTTTCCATTATGTGTTTGAGTGATATATCTCATTGGTTTTTTGAGGAAAGTAAAGGTTTTTCCAAATTTTGGATTATCTCATTTTACATAGAGATGGCAAGGCAATATTATCTCATTTTAAGTTGCTTCTACTATTATGTTTTACATAATTTAAAAGTAATGAGGTATGGGATTTATTCTTGCATCTTTAGTAAACAGGTTCTTGGCTATGGAGTTTTTGTTTCTTTAAGATTTTACATAATCTACATTAATTCACACTGGCTGAATGTTCTTGTTGTGGTTTGGGTCAGCATTATCCTCGAGTCTTAAGTTTTGAATTTTTAATTTTTTTTTCTAGAAAAAAAAAAGAGATAAATACCAATCAATCGTGGATTAAACATATTGTGAAAACCCACAAATAGTGCAAAAATTCATTAAGAATAGGTCTTTACTTAGAAATTTATAAGAATTATTCCTTAACTTTTTATAGGACATATCGATTATTTAATTATTTTTTTAAACTGCTTATTGCAGCTGACCTTAGAAGAGAAAAAAGTTATTACCTCTTTTGGTATCTTAGATTTTGACGTGTGGGTTACAAAAAAGAAAGATTTTGACGTGTGTCATTTTGTAATATTTTGTTATAAAGAAAATTTGATGATATGTGTTCAAAAAAAAAAAAAAAAAAATTAATGATACACTTTGCTAGGAATGTAACAAAAAAAAAGAAAAAAAAGAAAAAAAACAGTTTCTCATCTTTCTGTTTGCTGTCAGAAATGGTCTTCGATATTTTCTTTTCTCACTTAAGAGCAGTTTTTAAGAGCAGTTTCTTAAGAATCTTACACTGCGGCTTTTTGTAATTTGATGATTTCGTTATCTGCTCTTGAATTCATACTCATATTAGTTGAGTTTTGCAAAGGAATAGCACAAAAAACTCTTCAGAGGCTCTTATTAGCACTGAAAGAAACATAAAGCAAGTTGCTGAAACTTAAGAACTGCATAACAGATTTTGGAACATGAAGACATTGTTTTAATCATGATTTGGTGCAGAGATGTGTCTTCAAGGGGAAAAAATAAATTTATTTTGAAACAATGTTATATATGTTAATAGTCTAATGCTCCTCTCTGTCTAATAAAGAACAAACTATGGTGATCACTCATAACATTCACATGTACAGTTTCCTCCATTACACGCACAAACACAAGGACTATCAGACCTGCAGTTCGGAGGACAGTAAACTTTGCAGTCGTTATCTACGGTGCAAATTGCTTTGTGCTTTATTATAGTTGCAACCGGCGGCATGCAGCTACCTCCAAGGCAATTCACTTTTTCCTTCACCATCTCTCTTGCATCAACCAAATACGAACCTTCACATAGACACACCACAAACTTTAATACAAAGCTAAACCAAATTATATAAAATAAAGAAGAAGCATACAAAGTGATATGACTGTGAGAGAAAACAAGACAAGCTTGAGAGATGTTTTCTCCATTGCTAATTGTAGTCTTGGAATATTTTCTAGTTTATATTTATTGTTCAAGGGATGATGAAGAGAAAGTTTGATTGTATTCTTATATATAAGAAATTTAAAAAGGAAACAAATCTTTTGTTTGAAGGTCAAAGGTCAAAGCAAGTTTAGTCAGACTAATAATTTGGTAAAAACATGGTTTCATTCCTAACTGCTATTTCGGTGTATTTGGAATCTCTGTTATTTTAACAGAATTCAGAAGAAGAAAAAATAGTGATATAATAAGATTTAGGTGTATTTGGGAATCATTCACCATTCTATTTTTTGAAAGATTACAAAAAGAAAAATAAATTGACTTCAAGACATTAATACATGTGTAATTGCATATCTATTGTTCCTCTCTATCTCAGAAATAGAAAAAATAATGTGGTTGAAAACAAATAAAAGGGAATTGAGTATTTACAACACAATATACAAATGGTCAATACTATTATTGCTAAGAGAGACGAAAAGAATTTTCAAACTGAAATTGTTTTTCCTTTAACAAAACACAAAGCAAAGAATGAAAGAAACAGCACAAAAGCTACTGCAAAAACTGGCATGCATCTCAAGTTGCTTGCTCTTCTGATCTCTGTGTTCATACTGCTCTTTTCAGAGGCAGAAGGGAACTCTTGTTCAACACCTCGTTCTTCCCTTGTTGTCTCATCCTCCTGTTCATAGACAGAGAAAAAGACCACATAAGATTAGTACAACAGAGAATGATCTATATTTTGTTTATCCATTTATTGTTCTGAAGCAACAAAGCTTGAAATCTTGCGTGATTTTAAGAATAAATACCTGCCTGCAGACTTTCAGATAATGCCTCTAACCCGTCACCATCTGTGTTAGAAGGCAGCTCTTTGTCTCCAGCATAAGTGCCATTTCTTTGGTATTTACTTCCCTCTGAGAACTGATTCACTCTTAGTTTTTCATTTTCCTTCGCCAGAGAATATAGCTGCAAAAATACATTAATGGTTGGCTTTTGTGTCCACTTTACTTGACAATGCAAAAAAAAAACTAGGAACATAGAGAAACGTACCTGTTGTTGTATGCGTTCCCTTTCACTGGATAACTGCATCACCATATCCATCAAGAGCTTGTTTCTCGTAGCTATTTCTTGCGCATATTTCTCTTTTTCTTCTTTAGCTTGATCCAATGATGCTTCCAAGGATTTAGCTCTCTGCCTCAAAGATGTCACTTCTTTGTTAAGTACAGAGTTGGTTGTAGAAAGCACAATGCACTGCTCTTCAACTGTCTCCATTCTACTCTCAGCTTTAGAGGCTTTAGACTTGAGATCTTCAATCAAAGTCTCCATATCCCATATTGCTGAGTACAACATGTTCTGCTGTTCTTGACTTGCTTCAGATGATACCTTGGAGTTTTGCAATTGAAACTCTAGTTCCCTGAGTTGCTTCTCCAGCGAGCTCACCTTCTTTGTCTTTTTCTCATCAGCATCTTTGAGGAAACTTAGTTCCTCAGTAAGTTCAAGATTTGCAGCATTTAGCTCTTTAATCTTAGTCTCTCCACTCTCAGCTCTGCTCTCAGCCTCGAAAAGGCTTTCTTTGATCGACTCATTTGCATTCTCCATTTCAGCAAGATGCACCAGAACTTCTTGTTTGGAGGCATTGACACTCTTCAGCTCAAGCTCAGTATCTTTAAGTTTTTGCTCAGCTGACTTCACATGTTCCCTCAAGGTAAGTACTTCTGAAACTATCTCTTGATTTTCTGCAATTGTTCCTTCAAGCCTTTTCACCTCAAGATCTTTGGCTTGGAGCTGTGCAGTGATATCTTCAAGCTTAGACTTGAGTTCACCTTCTCGTTGAGCTGACCCTTTCTGACTAAACTGGATAATCTGAAGACGGCCAACAAGTTCCCTTGAGACACCCATAAACACCTCTGAGGAGTTTTCAGCTTCTAAAAACCGTCCCCATATAAACTCTGATGCTTCTTCCATTCTAGAAGATACTTCCTCTGTGCAGTGCAGCTTGAGTTTCAGCTGCTCTTCGTTCTGCTGAAACTCCATTAGCTTCTTCTCAAGCTCTAGCTCTCTTGACAATGACTTCTCCAGCATCCTCAGAGCATTTTTATGCCTCAAATCCGATGGTCTCAACGCATACTTCTGCCTTAAATCTTGACCGTTTCCTGAATACTCCATGGACTCTTCATTTTCACCTGCCAACAAGTGTTTGTCTATAAGAGATCCAATCCACACACAAGAATTGTTATGAGAAATGCTTACTTGTTCCGTTTCTTATGTAATGAAGTGTTCTTCGAAGCTGAGCTAATTGCAAAGTGATCTCTGACACTTGCCCCCTAGACTGCTTCAAGGATTCTGCAGATTCAGCCAATTTGCCTTCCATAACGTTATGATTTACCTGTTTACAAGCAGATAGCTTATAAGAAGTGTCAACGATTTGTGCTTCTAGCTCATCCAAAACCTCGTCTACCCCCTTTAACTCAGACTCCAATATACCACATAACAGATCAAACGTCAAAGCTTTCTCAAAAGACGCTGGAGAAGAGCCAAGTGTCCCCATCCCTTCAAGATCATTATCCCAAGCCAAAAGGTGCATAAGAAGAACATGCAAGTTCAGCAGCTTTTCACTAGTGTAAGCCGAGTCTATCTCTAGCTTTGTCAATATCTTATACATCCCTTCCTCCTCCTCACTCCTACTACACAAGGCTTCTTCACCCTGATTATACACATCTTCCTGAGAGATTTCCTCCATCCTTAGCCTGGAAAAAATAAAAAATAAAAATCAAATCCAAACTAGTCTACTCATAGACAAGTCATAGAGAATTATTTTTCTATATGAAACTAATCAGTCGTTAATAAGATAACTAACTCTCATAATTGAAAATCTTATTCATGTACTACTCAAAAAATGTCCCCAGGAACACATTAATATTATCTTTTCCAGACCAAAAGTGTCAAAACCAATATGCAAGAAAAGAGAAGTCAACTTGAAGATCACACATTGACTTGTAAGATAGTATTTATGTTTTAGGCTACAATTGTGGTAAGAGACAAAGAGATCAACTTAACAACTGTTACTAGTATACTAAACTACTATCTACCACAAAGATTCAAACTTTACCATGAAAGATCAAAACCCAACAAAGCAAAAACAAAAACCAAGAAACAGAACGGTTGGTTCAGACAAGACAGAGAGTTCAGGAGTCAAACAGGATCTGGAAAGAGATAACTGTACCGATGAGCTTTAAAGCGAACTCAGGTAGATGAAAGAAACCGATTAGGAAGCGTTTTGTCCGTCAACGTACTCGAATGGTGTTCAAAGAGTCAGGAATGATGATAATGCTAAAATGCGCAGGTTGGTTACAAGTCAGCTAACGATTAAAGAAAGCGCGCGCATGATAGTTGTGAGACTTGGGATTGGAGTTGTGCGCACGTTAGCCGAGGTTTCCTTTTGTGGTGGTGGTGGACGTTGAATTATTGAGAAGAGACAACTTTTTAAAGGTTTGTCTGCTTCTTATTGGTTTATTACAGCCAAAAAGAACTAAAGATGACAAAATCTCTTTTTCTCTCGTGATGGCTGTAACACACATTCAGATATGTATATAGTTAGACAATTTAATGTGCAATTTTCAAACTTTTGAAAATGTTTTTAAAAATATTACTGACCATATATTCTTCTTAATGTGGAGATAATATGATATATTCGCACTTAAGATTATGATTTCTTTTATAAATAGTTATTACATTTGCAATTATCTTAGTTTTGTTAACAACAATTTTATTTTTTGAAAGTTTGAAACTAGAGCAATTTATGGTAGAATTCCATATGTGTGAATTTAATTATTAAGATTATGACAGCCACATGTATGATGTAGAACTCCATAGTTCATTTTTACGATTAGCTATTTTTGACAACGTTTACTTGTGAATGGTTAGGTGATACATATAGGAATGGTCATTTTTACATTTTTTTCGTTATTCTGTTGTGGTGAATGTAGTGAATGTTTGATGGTAACTGAGTTGCGGTTCTGAGTTATTTATATGTATATATATTTGTATTAGATGATTGCAATTTTTATATCAAACCAATAACTAAAAATAAATAAAGGAACCTTTGGCAAAACGAAAAGTAACTTAGATCAGAAATCGTGCTAAAATATATAAAGCACGATGTTGCACACTGGGTTTGATTACAAAATATGAGTATTGTAAGCCTTTGGGTTTATATCTATGGAGAGCCGTGTCTGGTGAAGAAATTTTGAAACCGTTCGTATGTTGAATAATTTTAGTGAAAATTTTTTTAGGGCATCCTAAAAAATGTTCTTTCATTGCTTTTCAATTTGATTATGCATGTATATCAGTAAATCATTAGCAATATTTATTTCTTTTTTTACTACAATTAATTATAACTTAGATGTTAATTATATATATGACTAATTAACTACTATTATATCCCTTTAGTCTTTTGTATCTAACTTCATCTTTTTTATCAGAATAATTATTATTTTCATCTATTCTTATTAATTATTTTGTTCGTTTCTTAGTGCTTACTTATAAATCTAATATAAAATTATGTATATAGAAGACTTTTGTAAGTTTCATTTTTGCATTTTTAAATTTAACAAATATAATAAAAAGTGTTTCTTTTCTTTCAAAAAGTATCTAAAAAGTGATTATTATTTCAAAAAATATTTTAATTAAACAAAATAGTTTTTTGGTTTAGGGCATCAAAAAGGCTTGTCACGGCTCTGTATCTACGTTGTTACACATGAACTCTTTGAATGTTTTAGGGATGGTGATTGGGCTTATGGGTGACCAAAACTATGGAATTGAAATGTATAGAGACCAACCATGCTACTCTGATTGTTTACTTAATGTGATCTGTAGATTTGCTTTACGGCCTTGTGTCGTGCATGATAAGTATACGACGATATATAATGTGTGACTTGGATATAATTGTTTCGGTGAAGAGCTATGCACACGACACGAGATCATTACAAAACTATTA